AAGAAGCTTGGCAAAGAGAGCGCTAAAAACAGAGGTTTGAATTTTTAACTTCCAAAATAAAATGATGTTCTTTTCTTTTTTCATCCCTTCCAGTTTTCAAATGGAACATGTATACTCCGTGGAGACCCCTTCTTATGCGTTGTATTTAGGAAAAATACTTGACAAAATCAAGACAAATATTGGCTGAAATAGGACCTTGTCGTGTTTGGATTGATTTGCCTCCAGTTTCGAAGGATATTTCCTAGATTCCATCCTCGTTTTTGCCAACTTTTAAGAAGATTTGTAACTCTTCAGGTAATATTTTTAGTATCTTTTTCAGTATTAATGCTGGGTCAGATACTCAGAAAATCAGTTCGTGCTACAGCTGAATCAGAAAGATTTATCATCACTTGGTCTTGCTTGGAAACGCTCTGGAAACCTCAATTTCTCCAATTTACCACTTCCATTTTCAGGGTTGCTGGTGATCTTAAAAACCAGGAAGATCAGATAAGTTGTGGAAAAGTCAGGAAATTTCTAACACATCTCACTGAAATGTATCACAGATCTTTCAATTGTTTACCCTTTCTGATCATTTATAAGGCTTGTCATCTTATAACCAGCTACTGAATGTTGTTTTCCATAATTTGATCTCCAAGTAAGGAAATTTCGTCAAAATTCTAGCGAAAGGCAGAGTGATATACCTAAAAAAAAGAAAAAAATCCTGGGTGGAAATGGGAAAAGTAAAGGAATCAAAAGATTTTGGAGTTGTTAAAAACTGTTAAGAGTTAAAAGGAAAATGTATGCTCGGCTTGAAGTCAACTTGAGCGTTGTAAGGACTAACCATGGTTTCTTTCCATGTCACTAAAGTGCCATTTGTCAGTCATTAATATAAAATTTTATATTCCTTCGCCCTTCAAAGTGATTGATAACAAATCCGTAAATTTCAGACTCCTTAATATATTATTATTTCTCTTCCCTCTCTTTCTGTTGATGCATACATATAAGAGACTAAATGGGAAGCTGAAAAATAATAAATCGACGGTGTAAGTCGGCAATCACATAACTCGGTTTGCGATGTCGCAAACTTTTTTTCATACCTTATTTTTTAAACGGAAAACTACTCAACGGCAATTCTTCAAAAATGCCATGACTTTTCTTCTCTGTGTGAAGAAAATTCTGCTTAATTTTCAAGGAATTATGTCAATTTGTTCTCCCTCAAAAAAATAATACAGAGGCGGAGATTTTCAGGCACCGCAAATGAGATATGTGATTGCAGACTTATGCCGTCAAAATGGGTCACTCAATGGACCACTAGACAAGGAGTAAATTTAAACACTAAGATGTATGATCTCTCATCAAAATTTTTGAACTTGATTATTGCGATGAAAATTATTGAAATTAACTGCGGTTAAACTTTTCAGGGAAAGCCATGAGTAATCTTTTTGACCTTAATCACACACTAAACTTTACAGTCACAATTTACAAGGTAAAAAAATATTGCAACCTTAATCTCAGCACTTCAACTCAGCTGTTGTACGTTGTTAGCAATTTAAACAGCACTACTTTCATTGATTCTCTTTTGAATTATTAAAGCTGGAAATGAAAGGAAGGAAATGGACTGTAAGTTGGACCTATTTATGCTTAAAAAAACTACCCCTAAATGAATCAAATTTAAAGGAATTATGAACCACGCAAATCCTATGCGCATAGTTCGCATAGTTTTATTCATTTTTTCCTAGTCCCTTTCTTTGTATATATGACCAATTCATGTCAGGTTCTACCTGATTCAGGATATTGTCAGGATTTTTCAGCGGTGGACCAGCCTTTGAATGTGAGGGTAATGAAAGGGTTGAACCTTGAAACAATTCAAAGCTTGAAATTTTTACATCTATCCCAATCAAACTTTCGCCTAAAATGCTCACGTTATTTCTAGTCTAAAAATTCTAAACCTGGAATCTTTATGTGTCTGTCCACAGGAAAAAGGATCCGAGTCCACAAGAAAGTGTTTTACGAACAGTTTGAGGGAAAAAAATGTCATATCAAGCTAGAGTTAGGATGGCCCGAAGTATGCAGTTCGAAGAAAAGGCTTCAAAAGAAAGCTACTCGAAATTCTAATTTGCCATTTTCAGAACACAAAATTGTTGTGGACCTTCAAACCCTCTATCCGCTCAAAAATGAATTGAGCCTTTAATCCATGAATTGCAGCTTATTGGTTAAACGGTGTATAGTGTACAGGAAAAGAAATGCTGCGCACTGATGGAACATTAAAGTAAGTGACATCGTCTACTTTGATAGAGATTGTTTATCTGAAGTCAGTTCTTGATTTACTGCGCTCAACAATCACCTCAATCAATGCAATGTCTAGTTTTTGTCTTCGAACATCATTTTCG